CACGAGAACGGGATAAAACCTAGCCCAGTGAATAACATCGAACAAGGAATTCAATTCGATTAGACATTTCTATTCGTTTCTGCTCGCCAGTAGAATACAGAATGGGATTAACGTCTAAAAGAGGCAATGGTGATGTAATTCTCATGCAAATACTCAACTTGTTAAGTCAACAAATAAGAAAGACAGAATGTGTGAAGGTACGAGCGTTTAGCGATTTTGAATGTTCATATTATACAGGGTGTTAGGAAAAGTACTGCGTTCCTTTTGAGGGATGAACCAGGTCATGAAACTGAACAATTTTCCTCCAGAAATTTTGCACCATTTCATTCTGCGACCAAATTAAAATATTGTTCTTCTAAAAGCTTTTGGGTTCGCCTATTGAACATGGTTTAAGACAGAACAGCTCAGGCGACTCATGGTTTGGACAGCGGTTAAATTGCTTGACTTTCTAACATAGTATTTTCAAAATTGTCCATCTGGTTGTCCGAAAAGCAAGATGGTTCCGTGCTTCGCAAAGCAAGTTAAGCCGTCGGTCTCAGTTGCTGTCTATGATCACTTAGACGGCGGTCGTTGTACAACCATGTCAAAAGCCTGCTACTTGTCGTAGGCGGTTGAAAATCTCTGACAACGGGGGTTCATCGAGTCATTGCAGAACTTGGTGGGCCCCTCGAAGAACAAGAAAGCGAAAGTTTTTAGGATAGGTGACGCACTATTTGGACAGCTGTTCAATCGTGCTGAACTTTCTTTGCGTAGCACCTTCAAATCAGACAGCTCAAGAAAAACTGCCAGTCGATAAAAACTTCTTCAGCCAGTGTTATTTGAGAAATTTCTATAAAATACGGGTCACTTCACATGGCGCTAGTTCTGGAGTACTATAATAAATACTTAGTATAGAAGTAGTCGATACTAGAAGAGGAAGTTCTAAAAAGTTTGGATTGATTGTATAAAAGACGATATGAAAAATAAAGGCGTAAGTTAGGATTTCTGCCGCGCAAAACATAAACGCAGTAAGGCCTTATGGATTCAGGTACAATCTTTTGCGCGGCAGATTTGACTGCTGAGAGAAATAAATGGAAGAAAAAGATATAGAAGTAGTCGATACCACTCCATACTTTTATGGAGCACAATCCATTTACACTTTGTACCACACTGTTGCGATTTGTAAGGTTTTAAAAGCAGCACTTTACAATCTCTTTGCAACAGCAACATTTATCGCATCGACTTAGACGTATCAGAGCAAGGGAACGGTTTCAGAAAGATGTGTGGAATAAAAGAATGAAGTTAAGAAAACTCTTCGCAGTCAGATACTGAACGCACGCTAAAATACATCCAATATAGCCCGCGCGATCTAATAGCATTCGAAAGTGAAGACAATATACAAATTACATGTGGTTGCTATCATAGGTATATGGGTTTATCATTTTGTGGTATTTTACCAGAACAGTGTTAATTACAAAGGGAATAAAAATACCTAGGTTAGAAATTATGCACATCATGACAGACCACGTCGCATAGCCGCGTGACTATTACGGCTTGATACGTTTTTGCTTGCTACTGTTCAGTTGTGTTTATTGTATAGCAGTCTGATTGAGACGAGTTTTTCATGGCTTCATTGTAATTGTCCGTTGAAATCTCTCAGAAAAAAATCCTTAATCTGATGACTCAGCTGCTTTGTCGCAACTTAACGCTGTTTGTTTCACTGGATTAGTGTGTTTCTACTACGAACTTATTGTCTTTGCCTCGTCGTGTTTGCTAGTTTACGTATATCTTTGAGGACTAGATTTTGTTTTCTTCTTTAGAAAGCGAACGGGATGGTATTTCAGACTCAACCTTAGGAAGCTAAAGTTTCACTTCCACGTCAACAAGTCTTGAACTTTAGCATAAAATTATTTGACTCGTTTATTATTATTAATTATTATAATACAGTCTACGACTCGCTGGAGTCGTCGTCGTTTTGGTTTTTCGTGCATGTTTTAAAAATAATTGGAATTAAAATTTAACTTTATAAAACTACAGGCATAAAAAAAAAATAAAAAAAAACAAAGTGAATAGAAAATGGTACCCCAAGGTGAGAAGAGCGTAAATTTACCACGTTTCTATTAGTCTCAAAAGTATCATTCTGAGGCAGATTTTGGAATTTTGTACCGTACGCAAATATTAAATTGCCCAAAATGTTTTCTTGTCATCACAATAGGTCCCAGGTTAGACAAGACGGGATATTAATCACTTAAAAGTACAAATCATATGCGAGTACAAAATTTTAAGTTACAAACTTAAGCATAACAACGTAGCGTAACGCTTAACGTTTAAATTTTTAGAAAAGTGGTATGCACGCAACACTGGAAAAGAAAATTCGCCGAAAATGCGTTACGGTAGAATTAAATACACCCCTGACCCCATCAACACCTTTAGCCCACAATTTTCTTCCCAAGCATTTCCCCGACACTTTGAAACGAAACTCGACGAAAACAGACCCGGCCAATAAGCATTAGGCAGCAACCTACACGGTAAGAGTCCATAACATAAAGACGAGGCTGTATTAAGTTACCTTAAAGAAGACATTTCGCTCGGTAACTACCAGAGAGGCTTAGCTGTGGGCGGTGACAATCGTGTTGGTGTAAGGGACGAGTTCGAGAGATTTTAAGAGTAAAAGAATTAGGATTACTTATATAAACTGAAAATGCAACTGATGTCACGATGATGCTTGGTTCGCTGGTTTCGCATACAAAAGGCAAAAACGACATCTAAACATGCATGTGCCAGTCTCCAATTCCACCTTCATGCCGCTTCCGTATCGGCTTATTCAACCATGAAAAATCTTGCTGCAGACACTGAATAAATCGTCTGTCACAGACGTATGAGGCCAGTGATGATGAATTTCATGCCCTGTGTGTCCTGCTGCCTGCACTCAGGAGGATCTATAGAATGCCAACCAAAATGCCATTGACGTGGCCACTTATTGGGCACAAACACTGTAACCTAGGGTTCTGTGCCATTGATCTGAAAAGAAGAAGAACTGAAATTGTAATGTTGACCAATACCAGGTCTAACAAACCTTACTTTTTCTAAGAAAATCTGTGACCGGTTCACGTTTCACCATCTCCCTGCCCTTTTCCCAAATCAATTGCGGTCGGCTCAACATGTTTTATTAGAAACTTAAGATCATGTAAAATGCAAAATTATTTGGCTATGTTTTATGACTGGCCGCTCGCCAGTATTACCGTCACCACGGTCGGCAAATATTCAGCCGATGTCAAAAACTCTACGTTGCCTCTTACAAAACACCCTGAGTAGACTAGGGGTGGCAATAAGTATTTTTGGCCACTACCACACGGCATATAGACGTTTATAAATAAGATCCTTGCTAGAAACACTGATGTTAAGCAACTAATCAAGTTCCCATCCTATGACGAAAAAGGAGAATAGTTAAATTGGGGACTATAAAAGGAAGGGTAGAGCTAAGTTTACCTCTGGAAAGCATCAGGTGCAAGCGCTATACCTAGTATTTCATAAAAATATAACTCAGTTCAAATGCATTATTAGAAGGCTAGACTTTCGTTCCATTTCCGCATATTATTGGCACGAGACATGTCCATTGTGCCAATATAAGTCAATTGATGAATAATTTTACGACACCAAATAGACAGAACCAACTTCTAAACAATAGGGTTTAATTTAAGTGCTACTTTTATCGGTGCAAGAAAATACGAAACTCGTCAATAAACTCTAGTTAGAATCAAGAAAAATTACGTTTCTGTTTTATTAGACGTATAAAGACACGTAAGTAGGTATAGTTATACGATTATATTTTCTGAACATACAGCTCTACGTCCAGCTCTATCTTCAGTATTTAGTAATGGTCAATATATATCTTCATGCTATCTTTGAATTAGTTTCTCTTTACTTGGACCTGGAATCAGAGAAGGTAATCAGATTCAGTCTGAAGATTAAGCCATCCTACAGTCTAAACCATTCCATGTGCAATATTTGATACGTCAATATATTTGCCTGGATGCCCATACGAAACGTCCAGACCTCCATGTTCGACTATATCAAGTAATGAATACATAATCAATACTGTGAAATAAATGGTTATAGGCGACTCGTTTACATATTTACATACATATTCTGGGTAAAGTATAAAGTTTGTACTTTACAAAATAGGGTGAGAATCATATCTAGCAGTACACTGTAGTTGCAAGGTACTTTCAATATGGAGCTTTCATACTGAAAGTACTAGAGTGCGCTTTTCTGGGTATGCACGGTTGGCACTAGTACGAACATAACCCTACCGTCAATCAGAAGGAAAATGCCAATGACAACACATTATGTTATTTTACATCAATATTTTTCCTACATTTGGCACCGGTATCCATGACATTTTATTGCTTGCTAATTTATAGTCTAAGTGAAAGTTACAAGTTTAAACTTCCATACCACAAACTATGAAGAAAACATATTTGAAATACTAGTAAGTCGGTTTTCGCCCTAAATTGTGCAAAAGCCGAGACTAAAATGATGTCCGCCGCAGTAAGCCATCTTTTTTGAATTATCTTAGTACTATTACCCATTTAATCTGTGTTTAACCACATTACGCATAGGCAGACAAGTCCTATTAGAAAACAGTCTAAAAGTAGTCTTAGATACTCCAGTTTGTTTACAACAAAGTTGCTAAACAGCCTAGATTTTGCTGTTATGAGTTCAATAACTATCAATATTTATTGGTTCGTAAACGAAAATAATCTATTTATTAGGTGCCATGTTTACACTTACACCGTCTGCAGAGTGTAGAACTATCAACATTTAAATGATACAATGTTGCTTACGTATCATATCAACCTAGTTAAAATTTCACTGTATTTTATACATTTTACAGTCTGTGATTAAAGACATACTTACTTAGGCGCTTACTTCACAGACGATTCGTAAGAGCTTACAGTATCATAATATGAGCTTAGTTTAAATTATACTATCTGTGATTGGAAAACTTGCTAAATTTTCACCGCAGGCAGGATTTGAACCTGCGACCTTCGGCATCTTATCTGTACTGCCGATGCCACTACCAACTGGGCTAAGGCGGTTCTAATCAAGCCTGCGAATTTAGCAAGTATATCTTGTCCACTAACGCGTGGATGGGCTCCATCTACCGGGATAGTTTTTGCAACTAATTCCCAGCGGCTAATTCATTCTTTGCAGATTGAATGTAATAAACGTTTTGAAGCAGGAAATAATATGTAAGCCGGCTAAAACATTTACTTACGAGTAAATCTTCTTAAACCTGTTCATCTATGTTGCAACTGGATCTTAGCCGAGCATTGTTTCTCGAACTGCATATGTCAGACTGTCTCATTAACGCTGACTTCTACCAACAAACAGACACAAGATTATGTGTCTTATGACTTGCTGTTACTTTAAGCTGTGGCTTGAGTAGATATGACATATGACTGCTGCAGCCGGTAAGGAGTATTGTTATTTTGTTTGTAATTTTCTTACATATCAGAAGTTGCGTCAACAGTCACAGAGTGGTTTCAAAGGGGAGCAGAAATACTTCTACAAGGTAGAATGCCCGGTGGTGTGATGACATTGCTAAAGTCGACAGTTTACAGGATCTCTTTGGTTGAGGTTCGCACAGGATCGTTGGGACTTATGGAATAGAGAAGAAGCATTAAACTCTGCATTGGGTGGAAGTAAGCCGAGGGATGAATGATGAAGAATGTGAAAAAGAAAGTAATAAAATGAAACTAGTAGAAAAAAGTTGATAGCTCATTTAATAGTAAACTGATACACAAAAAAAAAAAAACAAAATTGATAGAATCTTTAAAAAGGGATTATATGCACTGAAACTCTTATTTCATGTATTGAGTACATCGCATAATTTACGAAAAATGCTCTCGCAAATATTCTAACAGGAATCCCTTTACGCAATCACAAAGAAATTCGCGTTGCAATCAGGACATCAAACAAAGCGTGTAGCTGGCCGCCATTTTCCGCTGAATATAACATGAAATAGACGGATCATTATGGTAACTAGAGCCTCGATCCTCAATACACAAGAGCTTGTAGGGGATAATTTTCTACGTGGAACTTTGAGCACCTTTGTGAAAGCATGTCAAATCAACTTTTGAAAAGAATGCACGTGAAAACAACTTTTGAAAAGACAGTATGAAATCAACCCGCGACAACAGCTGATGTGACTCAGCAGAAAAATCAAGAACACGTTAGTCGATAAATATTCACCAAAAACGATAAATATACAGTTTCTAGAAAATTTGGTGGCTGCTTTATTGTATACAGGCTACCCAACCCATCTTCTTTTTGCTCAACTTGTAATTCTGAATGTTGATCTCTTTCATCTGTTAAATAATATTCATCTTAACTTATGTAGTGTAAATGTCATAATTTTCTACTGGTAGCAAAACTACACAGATCATGCATACATGGGTACATACGTATATCACGCCAATTTCCCTTGCGGGGTAGGCAGAGCGTAAACGACTGTAAAAACGGCCTTTTACACCACGTCTGAAATAGTTTGAGAGCCATTCAGAAGACTGTGTATCACCATAGTGGCAGAGGTTGTCTGCCTGTCGCCTGTACACATCAACTCCCAATTCCCTAGTTACTTCTTACGACACCTACGGGAAAGATAAGGGGTGATGCTATTCAAAGCCGGCACCTACACAGTTCTAACGAGAAATAAATGTGTATTCAACAGCTGTGTATTTTCGCACACTTTTTTATGCAAACGCTGCAATTCCCAAGTAAAGTGCAGTGTCTGGTGGAAATCCCACGGTGTGATTGGAAACACTGTTATTTTAGTGCATCCACCCTGAACGAAGCAGATATTTTCAGCTAACTATTGAGCAATTTAAAAAGAGGACACAGAGTATGTAGGTGGGTAATATTTAATTGAAACAAGTTTCTTGGGCGCTTAATTACGTTTTGGTAAATAATGGATGGCACGGACGGAGTTAAAAAATGCTAAAACTATTTTAAGGCTTAGTTATCATCAGACACTCCTAACACTAGATAACAATTAACAATTTTCTCAACAAAATTACCTACATAAAAGCAAAAAATTTGATTCGTTTCATCTATACTAAATCTGGTACTAGCCTAAAATAGAATTGTAGACATCATAATACATTAATTAACTAACTTTTAGTTTGCACTACAGAACCAATTACCGATACTTTAGGCTAAACTAATAACTGATAATGAAAACGCAAGGCAGGCTGTTGATAAGGAAATACTTTCTCCAAGGAACATAGGTTGAAAAATGAAAAAAAAAATTACCTCGCATACAATATTGCCCATCAGTTGATAGATTTACAATGGGAGGTCCAAATATTTTGTTCCTTTTTTCGACCCATGTTCCTTATCTTTCATATCGGCACCAACCTGTCCTGTATTTTCGCTCACTAGTAAAATTTCACTTTGTAAACATTCAGGACATAGGACTATCAAGTTTAAACATACAACATAGCTCTCCACTCTCGTCATCAGAAACAGTTATTATAGCTGCAAACGTATTTGGCTAAAACAACATCCCGAACATTATAACGCAAGCACTTAGATGTCCGCAAATATTCCTTCCTGGGCCCCGCAAAGCCTAGTATTACATTGAGACACTTTCCATTAGGTTCACATCCATTGCTGTTTTGTCACTATACAAAAACTAACGAGTCATCCATGTAAAGCTATGGATCAGTCATTTAGCGATAGAGGTTGTTAGTCGCTGTTATAGTCTGAAACACAGAACTATGATTTTTAGACTCGACTTTGCTTATTTTAGGTTACTCGTAATTTTTAGGGATAATAAACAGTCATACATAAATATCGCTGAACAGTAATACTAAATGTACAACCAATCAATCATGTACACTTGAGCCACGGAATAAAAGAAAAAGAACTAAGTGCTTTTACCCCTGCTTTGTTCGCCCATTATTTACGCCTAATCAAACTACTTTTTGATAATTAAAATTACTTACCTATATGTGCAAGGATCAAGACGCGTGATGCCGGCTTAGAATAGCATCACCCCATATTAACCACGTGAGTGCCGTAAGAAGTGACTAAGGGATGAATCCAAGGAATAGGCAGCAGCGTTCCCTCTGAACACAATATTTTATACTTACTACACCCGCCAATTTGCCTGCCAAGCGTGGGGACGACACTGCTCTACGGAAAGAGAAGTCATATGTCTTCTTGTGACCTAATAACTTTAGAAATCACAGGACCGGCGTAAAAGGCGAGAAAAAGAAGAGGCCTATACTCAGCAGTGGGTAGATGTGGGCTGATTATGATGATTTATCTGCCCCTATCCCACTTACTTGGGGTCGGCGCAACACGTTTAGTTGAACACAAAATCATGTTGCAAAAGGATTTGGCTGAATTTTACGACCGGCCTCCTACCAGACATCAACCCTCCTTGGAAATGCTTTTGTGGTGGATTAACCTCCACCATACGGTAGGCCCTGGCTGTTCGGGTCGGGTTTATCCGTCGGTCGCCTCTCACGACCCCCACGGGAAGAGAGGGGGTGGTGCTATTCTACTCTGCCGGCACCACACGGCGGCGTATTAACTTTAGAAATGTAAAGTACTATTAACTTTAGAAATGTAAAGTCTAAAGTTAATAGGTCTTAGCTCAGTACAAAACGCTTCGCTGTCTCACTCAGCTAGACAAACAAACATACAGAGCAATTTGGTGTTGAATTTGTAACAGTGACTGTCCCTGTTTGCAGTTTGGATTCAATTGTATAGGGATAACATACGGTAAGGGAGTTTTGGAATCGGTATCTATAGCTCTATTGGATTACATACAAACAGGATCGTATTACCGTCATAATGTAGAACTAAGTTAGTTGGATAGAACGCGTTAGCCCAGTTGGTAGTGGCGTCGGCAGTACAGATGCCGAAGGTCGCAGGTTCAAATCCTGCATGCGGTGGAAAATTTTGCAAACCAAAAAATGTATACACGGGAAGCATTTTAGAGATTTGGTACTTAACCCCGGCGCCATCCACGTTGGGTCAAATTGACCCGTCATTTTTTATTTTGCTGGTATTTTCAAGATAAGTTGTACACAGATGTTGATTTTTTTAGTAGCTGGAGATAAGACTTTGTTTTATTCATTAAACAGTCTCAATCGTCGTGTGACATTTACGAGAGAGATAGACGCCTGCAAAGTTCAAAAAGGTATATTTGACCCAACGTGGCTTTCGATGTCATCATTTTATGCCATTATAGCGTGAAGACTTTTTTAATTATTTGGTCGAAGAATCGCCACTCAAGTTTCCAGGTGTCCGCAAAAGGTGTCTAGAATGTCTAGCACAGAAATACCACCAATACCTGTCATGGATGTCAAAAGTTTTTCTGCCCGCAACACATCATTCTGATGTAGGCAACATATGCAAATTCGAGGACTGATAATAATTATTGTTACGGAACATTCTCTCATTATAAAATGTACTATTTACATTAAGATCTAAGAAAGTCTAGCCGTATTCACTAAAATAATTGTAAAAAAAACTACCTATATTTTCTTACTTTAAAGGGTCTAAAAGAGTTAACTATTTTATTTTTTACAGTTTTTTGGTGATTATAAAAACAGATAATAAAAGCTGTTACTTTTGTATTTCGATGTTTTTTTATTTTTCAGGCACAATATATATAATATAATAAAACTAAGTTGATAAAATGTACGTGCCGATAAAACTTAAAAAGGATTCCCGGTACGATAAAGGGACTTATACTGTGCAGTAGCCCTTTATCTCCCATCGAACAAGAAAGTTCCCGTTTTAACTTAAAGGGCGTATTTTTAAAGATATAGGTAAGGGCTTTTACAATCCCTAAAGCAGTGGCGCCATCTGTTGTGGAGTAGTCGAAATTCACTTCCAGTTCGTGATTAACGATGCACTCTGTTTCGAAATTTTGGATTTTAAATGCAATGTATTTAAAACATTTTTATTAGACCAAACAGATAAATACCGCGAGTGAAACTGCGGGCGGAAGGCTAGTATATGAATAATACCATTCATAAACAAAGATTTTTACGAATATATTTAATTAGTTTCCAAAATA